TACTACACCGAACACACAATTTGGTGTTCTGTCTCGGCGTGCGTAACTCCGCCTGTGTACTCTCCATTTTCTGGCAATAAAGCTTCTGTCCTCCTACATCGTCTTGCTAGACTTCTGATTTGGGGAAACCTTCCGTTTGTCGACATCACAACTTGCGATAAGTCTACTTCTTCTCTATATTATTCGAGTCTGTCAATCGCAAAACTCCTGCCGATAGACGGTGATGCAAGGGGAGCAAACATTTTTAATGATAACGTTTGTTGAAAATTGGGAATGCAGGTGAAGGAAGAAACCTTTCTTTGCAAATGTAGATGCGCGGATAGGAGAACCGCAACTGATGAGATTGGGATGCCTCCTCAGACGAATAAAGCCATAGGCAAACGAAGGGTCTTACTCCTATTTACATATACACACAAATATAAAAATGCGACAGTTCGACCGTCAATGTTTATCGTATGCCTTGCGCGTGAATTAGTTCTAATTGATAGCAGGCTTGCACTGCATCTATCTCACTCTCTCTTCTCTCATCCACATGATCCCGGGGTCAAAGCAGTATCTAGCTCGACTGAAGATGCCTCTATGCGTGCTACCAGCCCCCTCCTCTCCATGATCGGCATTTGTTATCGGAGCGCAATCTGTATAACACCTGTCGTCCCTTCATTAGGTCCGCATGCTGGTCCAGCTTGTCTATTATGCGGCCCGTTAAGGAGCGCAAAAAGAGGTGTCAGAAACGCCCAGCATTCCCAGTCAGTTACCCATGCAAGTACTAACCGGATCCAATGTAGCTCCAACGTAGCTTAACACACACACACCTGGAATGCGAACGTTTACTTTATTTCGTCAAATTTAATTTGTCCTCCCTGAGTTTTCATTGGGAAAAATATCGCACTTCGGCAGACTATTGAAACGGGGCTGCACATCGAATGCGACAGCCACTGTTATCGATAACCTTAGTTTATGCATGAAAAATCAGTCATTAAATAAATTCCTGAATTCCTGAAGACACTCGCTGTCCGTTTCTGTCAGAGTATGTTGGGACTGCACTCTCGCCGACAGTGGCGACCGCATTTATCAGAACATCATGTACATTGTTAACAGTCAACACTACCGTCAGGGATTCGTTCGTCTTTCGCTCTTGATAGTTTTGAGTTATTTCATCGAAGAAAGCTCCTGGCAGATATCATTGTCGGCAAAGACAAGGGAGATTGGAATGGACATTTCTGGCTCATTAACCGTCATCAGCCGGTGGTGCCCCACCAGAGGCTGCAACCCATGGGTCTTTTGAATACAAGTCTGACGTTCTAACTATTGAACGATCGGTAAATGTTAACCAAGGAATACCAATATCTCCTGATCTAAACCGCCAGGACAAGGAGCTCGCGGCTCAATAGTTAGGCCGTTAGGGGTTGCGAGTTCGAGGCTCGGGTATGAAACCACCTGTGTCTAGGTAGGGCTAGCGAACGACGGATAATAAGCCAGAAATGGCCATCCTAGTCTCCCCTGCCATCTTTGTCTGTAATGTCCTTCTGCCTATATCCTTACCCGCCTTGCGGTCGAGGCTCGAATGAGAGCTCTAATGGCAACACGGACGGACGAGTGTGTCCTCTAACAGATCTGTGTACACCTATCCGCTACTGTACATCCCCGATCTAATACCGGCAAGAGAGCGAGCTCGTTTCTCAATGGTTAGGGGGCGTTTGACTCTGAGCAGAGAGGTCGCGAGTTCGAGGCCCGGATGTGACACCACTTGGGTCTGGGTATGACTAGCTGACCATGGCTAATAAACCAGAAATGGCCATTCCAGTGTCCCTTATCTTTTTCGGTAATGTCATATGTCTAGAATACTAGTCGCTGTGCGGCTGCTGGCGGGGCTCGGAGATGAGCTCCAAGGCAGAGCGGGACGAGTGGGTTCCTTGAGCGATCAGCGAAAGTCACTCAATGTGGGTTTAGTTCAAGGGTATATTGATTCTCCGATTTTAACTCAAACTTGACTCTACAGCGCGCTTCGCACTGACTTTTCAGATCACTTTTTGATAACACGTTTACTTTTACAAAGCACACTTGTCTGCCTCCTCCTTTCTCAAGTTCGATGACTATGAACTACAAACTCTAAACATTTACTGGTCTCAAACAAATATGTGGTTATTTTTCAGGCTCTACGAATCCCAATAATTGCATACAAATCCAAATTCCGATTTCGCTTAAATTCAAACAGTCGACAGTCTGTCCTGTTAAAAATGGATAAACCTGTTAGAAGAAGGAAGGGGAGTCTGAACGGCTCCCAAGACCAGTCCAGCAATTGACGTCATCTAGCGGATATTTTTTTCCAAAAGAGCCGAATTTCTCATATGGTAAATCCTGTTTCTTTTTGCAGTTTAATTTACTATCATAACCACTCTGGGATTTGCAGGCACCCTGCTTGAAGTGAACTCCTACCGAGCTGACGATTTTGTTGAAGGCACCAAAACAACCTTCTTCGGGACTTTTCTCCGGCTGACTCTTTGTGTTTTATTACAATAGAGAGAGTACTCACGTGACTCGCTGCATAACACCGGTCCACGACCTGCAGGGTAGCAGTCTCCATTTTCAGCTTCTGGCTTTGCATGTACAGCTGACCGTCTGTGTCGTAGAGCGGCAGACATTTTCCGATGTTGTCATAGAGATTACAGCCAATCAGACCCAAGGCCACGGGTTCACGTGCGAGGCGCCAAAACAAATCAACCATTTTAGGCCGATTAAAGAAAATGGCCCAGATGAAGAGCTCCTATGAGGGAGAGAGAAGAAGAATACTGTTTATTAGGTACTACTGAAGTAAGTAGTATGGCCTGCAACGTTGTTAGTTTGATGCCTGCTCTCAAAAGAAAAAAAGTACTTTTGATCTTGAACTCATGGGATCGGTTTTGGCACCACCTACTGTGGCGTCATTCTGGCTGATGCGAACCAATAAACTCCAAATAGTCATTCCAGTTTCCTTTGTGTTTGGCGATAATGTCTTCCAGTCTAAAAT